TTCTATTGGCTGCGGCTTCCAGCACCAAGACTCTCCAAGGAAGTTACTGGAGACTGCCTGACACTTGTTCCTGGTGTACGTGGAACAAGATTTATCATTCTACCCAGGCACTAGGTTTGCTCATAGCTCAAATGGGGGGTAAAACCAAGAACAGTGGACAGGTGCATTTTTAGGGCTGTGGAACTATAAACCAGTGTTTGATAAATGCCAATAGCATTTGTATTCAAGTAATTTGAAAGAAACAGGCAGGAGGATTCATGTTCTTCTTGAGACACCAGAAGTTAGAATTGTTTCTATTAAAGACTCTTGGCAGGTTTTCAAACCTAAGCTTACTTGCCAGGCGTTGTGCCTACAAGTTTTTCATATCCATGTTCAGCGTGTCAGACAGACAGATATACCCAGCTGAGACAAATTACACCTGGTCTTTCCCAGTCCCATGGAGAAGTCAATGGAATCTACAATAGATTGGGAATGTTATTTATCTTGGCTAAAAGTCTGCCAGCAGGATTTCTGAATACTTGTCTTAAAATGATGGAAAAGAAGGGGCAGGTGAGCCGCTGGCTTCAGTGAAGAGACCTGAGCACTGCACTCACAGACTGCTTGCTGTCCTGGTGTGTGGTAAACTAACTCAGGTTCTCCTGTGAGGAGGTTATTTCCTAACTAGGAAAGAATTCTCACTAACCCTTCCTGGTTCCCCAGCTAATTGTGAGGGTCTGTCGGGGTGGGGGTGGGGGGGACTTTGTCTGTCAGCCACACAGGGTAACGTCTTGTGAAATAACCCACACCAAACTATGGTCACCCCAAAAGGAGGCAGTATGACCAATGCATGAGATCTCCTGTGTAAGCCCCAGGCAGATGCATGTAGAAACTGTGAATATCTCATCTTTCCTTAATGGACCATCCCTTTACTTAGACAGCCCTTGCCTCAGAGATCTTACAGTCTTTTTGTTCTGTGTTTGTACAGCACCTAGCACAGTGGGGTTCATGACAGGGGCTCCTAGGCACTCCCACAACACAAATAAATAACACCAATAATGCCAACTAGATGGGATTTAATCAATTAGCAGTCATCATAACATTAGTCTAGGTAAGAGGAAATTTGGCTTATGCCAACTTTGCTCAGTCAGTAAAATATTACCTACAGCGGCACCGGTGAAGACTTTACAAGCTCACCGTGCCACCTCCGCAGTGCTCTCATGGAGAGAGAGACAGAGAGGCAGATGTCCCAGGATCTGCACTCTGGGTTTCTCACTTGGTTACACACTGTGTTATTATTGTGGCACTGAGGTCATCCAAATATAGTGGGCATTTTGTTTTGTTTTTTTTACAGACTATTAACTACAGCATGTTCTTGCTCAACACTGTAGCCCAGTGTCGTTTCACATTCTGCACGATAGCTCAGGCTCCTTGCTCCCTATAGATATGGCACTGGCCATACATGTTCAGATGAATTTACCTCTCCTTTTTTCCACATTGTAATCCACTTAATTATATTGATTAATGCCAACTCAATTGCCTTTACGAAAAGACACTTCAAGCAAAGTCCTGCAATTATGTCCAGGAGATCCTAACTCAATATACCCAAGGAAACGCCACTATTAAAAAGCTTCAACTGGCCCTTTCAAGATTTCCGTTTTAAAACCTATTAAACAAATAAACAAACCAACCCAACTGTGACAAGCCAGAAAGTTCTAATGCAGAATACGAGTCAGTGCATATTTACAAGGCAAAACCCATGGTCCGACTGCCCTCTAGTGGATTTCATGATGCATAACGTAGCCCACATTTAGCCTGCTTTAATACTTCAAAACATGGAGCATTATTCATATCTATAAGTCAAAGTGCATCACTAAAGCTGACACCTACAATATCATTAGGGTTACCAAAGGACCCATAGCAGTTTGCAAAATATTCAAACAGAAAAGGTTTCGGTCGTAACTTAAAAGCTGTTTTGTGTTTAAAGTCTTTTACTGAGGCTTGGGAGAGAATGCAGAGAAAGATTGTAACTGGAAGCTCTGGAGGGAGCATAACAAAATAAGTTCAAATTAAATGCATTCAGCAGAGTCAGGCTCGATAGGAAGAGTCTAGGTATTTCTATGATAAGGTACAAACAGATGAATCTGCTAGACTACGTTCTCATGATACTTCAGTAGCAGACGCCTGTATTGTGATGTGTGAGGCAGCAGTGATTTGACACCCCCCGCTTCCGCACCCAATGGGACAGTGGAAATGCTGCAGGTGTGGCTGTGCTGTTCCCAAGGAGAGCTCAACCGCGAGCGTTCGTTCTGCGGGAGACAGTGTTTCAAAGCATACGTGCTACAAACACTCGTGGAGCCCCAATCAACGTTCCATGGGAGGCCGCTCTGAACCCCTGCTCACATCAACAGGTTCCAAAGCATGAAAATGTCGTTCTGTTTTGAACAGAGCCTCCAGAAGACAGAGAAGAAAAACAACTCTCCAGGAGGTCTCCACTCCATAGGGCTAGGAGAGATTCTCAAACACAGGCATGTTCTTACTTTACTCGGCAGCTGTGTAATAAACTGCACTGTCTATTCCTCTGCTTCCACCTGGAGACTTGAAATGGGTTCCCTGGTATGTATTAGACATGCCTCTGTTTCCAGGGGAGGCTGGCCACCATCCCTGACAAGAACTGGCTACCTACCGGCACTCACTAGTTAAAGCGGACACTTTATGCAGCAAAACGTTTACTAACAGACGACGTTTTCTAGCAGTTCCTCAAATACAGATAGTCCTATAGACTTCAGAAACAACACCACATTAATAAGGAAATAAACTCTCACACTGATGTTTAAACAGGCAGTTAAGTTGAGAGCAATCTGGTTAGCGCACCCATAGATAAATCGAGAAAGATTAAAAACAGCAGAGGGGGGGAGTGACTTTCAATGAGTTGCTCATTTTTTTACAGTACCTCCCACAGTGAAACTATCAATTACATCGTTCCATATAAAGAGATGCTGGATAAATGGGCATACTCATTTTGCCTGATTTTGAACCCAGTCCAGTTCAACTCAAACTCTAGCATATTGGGTTTGTTTCCTGCTGAGGAAAAGAAGAGCAGTGGGAGAAAAAAAGTAACTTGGAGGGGCCAGGGTTCAAAAGCACTCAGCCTGGACCTAACTCCAAGTGAAGTCAAATGCAATTTTACCACCATCTTCAATGGGAGCAACTGGGCTGAATGATTTTGAAAACATCACCCTACAGTATATTTTAGCTGCACACATGAACACACAGTATACATAGGCTACCACTTCTGTCAGATTAACTTTTGTTCCCAATGTACAGCAAAGCCTTCCCTTTATCTAGGAAAAGGTTGGATTTCTTTCCTTCTTTTTTAAATTGAATCATGCTTGAGGGAAAACTACTGTGTTTAAATGACAGGAAAAGAGGGTTCACAGACCTGACCTAGTTTTGCAAACATGATGAAAAATATAGTCAGCAAGGTTTCCCAAAGTTTTGAATTCTACAAGTTTCCTCCTACCCTACTAAACGACATGTTTTTTTTCTCAGTTAGACCCTAGAACAGAATACACTGGCATCAGAGGTACATGCTGATTAAATAAGTAGTGTTTTCACATTTTATAAAGGACAATTAAATGAGGTTATTTATTCAGTCTATATCAATTACTCAAACCATCCGGGGGGTTTAGGGTTTAAAGAAATAAATCACAGTGTTATACAAGAATGGTACATTTCAGGTGGTTGTTGGAATGCCACTCCATGAGGCTGTAGGGGTTCGCATCTCCAAAGCCCAGGCCGGCCTGAAGATACTGGGGATGAAAACTTTATTGCAGAGACTTTCTGCCTTGCAAATTCCTTCTCCCAGGTTCAACAGGAAACGGTCCCTTAGTAGCCCACATTCCCAAAAACCTCATGCTATTGACAGGCTGGTTATTCCCCTGGGACGACAGGTCGCAGTGCACGAGCCCAGGCATAGACGCTTAGTGTGAAGTCTTAGTACTTTGCACAATAAAAGCACCTCTCATTGAAGGCTCTCCAATCACTTTACAAACATCAATGAATTAGCCACATAATTCCCCTGGAAGGAAGGATGGAATCATTATCCCCGATTTTAAGATGGAGAATTGAGGTACAGAGAGGAAGTGATGTACCCAAAGGTAGTGTCACATCTGGGACTAGAACTTGGGAATGGTCAACACACACTCAGGTCCTTTGCACAGTGGTGGTCAGGCCTTGAGCTTGTTGATCTGGTACAGAGACTTTGCCCAAACTTCTCATCACCAGGCAGGATCTAGGCAGGAAAGATTTGGTCCTTTGTCTCTGTACCTCATCCCTTTTGACACAACATAGGAATGTGCCATACCAGATGATCCCAATGGTTCACCTGGTCCAGTATCCTGCCTTGACAGTAGCCAGATCAGACACTTCAGAGGAAGGTGTCAGAGATCCTGTGGTGACACATCCTGGAATAACCTGCCCATTGGGGTTATTGTTCCCTAATCCCCATCAGGCAGTGGTTGTTTTATACCTTGAAGCATGTGGGGCTATACCCTGTCTACATAGTTTTATCCTACTGTGGATGTTCATATTGTCCATTAAAATGTCAAGTCCTTTTTAAAATCCTCCTAAGCTTTTGGCCTCAAAGATATCTTGTAGCAGTGAGTTCCACAGGCCAGTCATGTGTTAAGTAAAAAATGTTTCCTTTTCTCTCCGCCCCAGGGCCTTGCACAGCTCTTGTTCCAGGAAATGGGTAGCAGTGAACCAACTCCTACACTGTACCGGGGTCTCACAGACAATATGTTGCCAAGTTCTATGCTGTCACAGTTGAATTTTGCAAGCTTAAAAGCAGCATAGGGAGTGAGAATCCCACTAACCAATTCAAATTAAAATAAACTTCAGTCACGACCGTAGCTGGTGCATTCTATGCCTTCTGTATTGTGTGTTCAGTGTTTGGGTTTTTTTGAGCAGAGATTGAAGCCAGGCAATGTGCTTTACAAGTCACCAATCTGGAAAATACTCACTCAGAAATGGTGTGGACGGCTTCGCTGAGCATCGCGGCTCTTCTCTGGTGTTACTTAAGGAATTTGTAGAAGTCCCAAGATGTTCCTCCGAATCAGTGGAAAACTGGAACTGGACTGTGCCAGACTCAACCTGCTTCACCTGAAATTTAAACAGATTTAGAAAAAACTGTGCTCTGTGCATATCCTCCATACCCGCTCTCTGGAATCAAAGGAGTTCTACTGCCAAGCAGCCAACAAAGTTAGAATAAGAAATTGTAACGCAAGGCATATGGCAGCAGGACTACCAACAGATAATTTTTTTTAAATGGGGTTCCCAGAAAGCTTTGGTTCAGTCTGAAAGTTATTTTCCTTGAGGCACGAAAAGTTGTGGAATGACACTAAACTCCAAAATTATCATCAAATTTTCCTCCAAAGCTCAGGTAGGATGGATTAATTACCAGAACTGTAACTCTGATCCTACAGACTGGAAGAAAGAGCTTTATGTTACAGTTTGTTAGTTCAGTTTCTGGTCATATTACAGCATCACAATGTGGCCTGTGTGCTTTTTCGCACACATTGGTCTGTTCAAAAACAGACTCCAATGAGAGACTGCTGAATTGGAATTAATTTGCAAACTGGATACAATTAACTTAGGCTTGCATAAAGATGGAGTGGATGGGTCATTACACAAAGTAAAACTATTTCCCCTTGTTTATTTCCCCTCCTACTGTCCTTGTAAACTGCTGGAAATGGCCCACCTTGATTATCACTACAAAAGGTCCCGCCCCTCCCTCTGCTCTCCTGCTGGTAATAGCTCACCTTTCCTGATCACTCTTGTTACAGTCTGTATGGTAACACCCATTGTTTCATGTTCTCTGTGTATATAAAATCTACCCACTATATTTTCCACTGAATGCATCCGATGAAGTGAGCTGTAGCTCACAAAAGCTCATGCTCAAATAAATGTGTTAGTCTCTAAGGTGCCACAAGTACTCCTTTTCTTTTTATTGGTCTATTTGTAAACCTGTCCACCAGATCAAGAATGAACTTTGGCTTTCCACCAGACCAGCACTAGGAAAGAACTCTAGCAAATAGGTTTGGATAAAAACAGAAGGAAGCAACATCTTGCCAAGTGTTTTGGGGGAACAAATTCATTAATCTACAGCAGGATTCCCCAAATGGTCCTTGACGTCAGTGCAACCACCAAAAACAAGCAGCAGTTCCCCCATTACTGCATTAGATTGAAAACCCTTTGGACCCCAAGAAGGCACACTGCACATTTCTGTGTGATTCTGATAACTAGACTGTTCTACTGCTGTGTTCTTGTATTACAAGCAGATCAAAATCTTCTCTATCTAAAACTCCCTTTTAGAGAAACCCTTTCTAAATGTAAAATAGCCTTCAAATATCCTTTTCATCAACTAGCATGAGTCTCTTCTAGCTCAGGAGACAAAAGAAGGGGAGATTTTAGCTACTTTGCTCTCTTTCGTGAATCTTTCCACCAGCCAATAATGAAATACACTCAACCCCCAGCTGTAATAGATTCATTCTTATCAGGAACCAGGCACCCGATCCCATACCAGGCATTTCCTTCCAAGGCCCACCCTGTGTTGGCTAATTTCAATTCTTTTCTATTATTTCTCCATTTCTGTTTTGCCTGAATGGTTCTGCCTGTGTTGCACAGCACACAACATTCATTCTTTATTCGTTTTATTTTGTAAAACTGGAGCAGCCTCTACTATGGATTTACATGCTGTAATTGAGAGCAGAATCTGGTTCCTAATCTCTCAAACTGCCAAGGCTCAAATACAGGAGAAAGACTTAAAATGAGAGACATGAGGGGGGATAAAAAAACTGACCCAAAGGACTAATTTCTTTAGCACCTTCTGCCTTCTCAATGAGGTTAATATATCTAGAGTGGCCGCCAGATTATGGTTAAAACTAGAAAATCATCTGGGAACAGTATATTTGTCAAAAGCTTGCACCCTTTCCCAATTCTTATGAAATGCATGGTGAACAGATTTTCATTGAGGCTTTCCAGTTAGAGCCAGAAAAAGTCTTGGGAAAAGACTGTATGTGCAATGGAATGGACTAGCAAAACCACTCAACCATGTTTGCAAACTCTCCTTACCCCCACACTTTGTGTGAAGTTTAACAAAGTTTAAGCAACATACACATATCTTCACTCTCTACGCAATCTATAGTTAAGATACAGAATAGAATCCAGTGTCATGACTTTTCCCCATTAGTGTGTGAATGTGAAGGACCCAGTTTAGTGTTATAATGGAATTCTGTACAGAAAGCATCTTTCTCAGAGATGGGTGCTTGTTCTGCATCACTAATCACAGACCCTTACTAAGCCACCCAAACATTGGTGGTTTCCTTTTGGCCTCTCTAATATTAAAGCAAAGGAGTACTTGTGGCACCTTAGAGACTAACCAATTTATTTGAGCATGAGCTTTCGTGAGCTACAGCTCACTTCATCAGATGTTTACCGTGGAAAGTCTGCTGCAGTTTCCACGGTAAACATCTGATGAAGTGAGCTGTAGCTTACGAAAGCTCATGCTCAAATAAATTGGTTAGTCTCTAAGGTGCCACAAGTACTCCTTTTCTTTTTGCGAATACAGACTAACACGGCTGTTCCTCTGAAACCTGTCTAATATTAAAGGACAGCTCCTAGGGAAGTGAAGGATCATATAGAGTGAACTGTAAGCTCTTCAGAGCAAGGACTATCACCTAGCACAAAAATCCAGACACTGCCAAAATAAATAATTTTATAAAGTATATGACAGCGCACTTGGCATGAATGTCATATAAATAATGAACACCAAACAGCTGACAAAATAAATGTGCAATGTGTATTTTCTGATGCATTATCCTTCCTCCTTTTCTCATGTGTGTTCACTCAGTGGCTGGTTGGCATTGGGTTTGGGCTACTTAGCAAGATTCTTGTACGAAGCTTTTAAACCAACAAGAATGCTCTGTGCCGTGTGTGTACTGAAAACCTGTAGGGTGGTTTTGATGCACCTTCGCTAAAGGAGAGCTCAGAAGAGCTTCTTTTTACCTCTGCAGAGCTCATGCTGGTGGGGGGCATCTTGTAAACTAACACATGGCTGGGGTTATGCTGGGCGCTTCCTTGCAGTGGTAAGATCACGTCCGTGGAACTCGAGTCCAGCACAGGATTCCAAACAGTCCATCGGATGGAATGCATATAGGCTGCTTTCGTCAAAGAGGAAATGGACAATGCCTAGGATTAAAAATATATATGAGAGTAAATAAACAGATATGAAGAGCATTTGGTGTCGTGCCATAACTCTATCTCTGTGCCACTCTAGACTGCTGTCATCCAATCCAAAATCAAACAGGAATTGGCCATTAGCCATTTTCTGCCTGCTGAATGGTAATAATCGTCTGCCTTTAGCCATCTTTCGTCGGAACCTCATCATCTCCAAGCAGAGTGACAGGCATGTTGTCTGCAGCCTTTTTCTTTTCTGTTTGTTTGGCTTTCAACCCTAATCAATATTCAGAATGAACAGTGCATCACATCATAAGCGATGACCTAAAATGAACACAGATGCATATATATTTCTGCACAACCCATGAATATTAGAAAAGAAATTAGCCTCCCATCTCACTACCATTGCAAATATTCGCAACTACTCCACATGGTTAGGCCTCTACCGGTTACTAATGTACACACACAATTATTGTTACTGAAGAGACTGCTATTGCATACCTGAAAAATCCTAAATCTCTGCATGTGAAGGCTGGATGTTCCTAGGACACAGGAGGGAAGCTATATTTACTGAGAGGCGAGATACCATATTCTCTCATCTCCCAACACAGAAGGGTAATTTTTCCAGCTGAACAACAATAAATAGGAAGGACACAATAAACGACTGTGAATGGCAGCACTCCAGTATTAGTTCAATATGGAGAAAATGAATACCGTCCACTGCCCCAGGGCTCTTCCCTTCAGTTACGTATTTCCCCTTGTGACTTCAATATTGTAGCCATAACTTCCATTGTCTCAACACAATTTTGAGGTGTACTATTTTGAAGCATGCTATCTGTCTTTCCAGCCCCACATTTTGCTCATAACGTAAAAAATTCTCTTCAAATCCCTGAATTTGCAGGTCTTAAAGAAGTACCAATATTATCTTTCTTTGTGAAAAGGAGCTGCTGAGGCCTCGTGGAGAACTTGGAATAGCTTGCTACCTGCTAGTCAGAGACAACTGTGCTTAGATTTAGCACAAGTTTTTTGTCGTCTCGTCTTCATACTTTGTCACTGGGAACATCTGCATGAACAGGATCAGCTGTCTGAGGTCACATATAATCTCAGAGGCATGGCTGGAGACAGTCCTGGCTCCTAGTTCCCTGCTTTAACCATTGGACCGCATTTGGCTCTAGAATGTTTTATTTTACAAGTACAAATCCAGTTTATCCACAACGTAAGTGTAACAAATCTCTGCCGTGTGTGCTACCAATACAACATTTCCTGGCAATCAGGCTATGTGATAACCGCACTTCATACCTTTGTGACATAATCCAAAAACAGGAGGAAAGGCTGTTTGGTTAACAGCATGTAACGTTTTCCATACCTAGCTCTCAAAAACGACAGCCCCATTTCTCCTGCACTATGACTATCTGGCCAAATTTCAATCCAGAGCCAACATAAACTTTGCCTAGAAGGGTTTACAATGTGAGTGCTAGCACGGACCCTGCTGAGGGATTACCATCATTGCCATAATCATTGGGACTGTGTTTCCCACGACGACACATTGCCCGTATAGAGACGGAGATTTCTTTTCTGCTGCAAGAACCAGTGAGACCATTAAAAATAATTTTAATTCCCACATTGAAATGGCAGTATAAACAGCATACTTCTGAGCCAGGTCCTCCAAGGTGGGAAATGTATTCTAAAAAGAAGCTAACGGGTTCCACTCAGACAATCACTTTAAAAGTTTCCCCTTAAAATCGGACATTATAGAAGGGTATGTATAAAAACAAGCTTACAGGTCTGTCAGTGACTGAAATCCCTCTTGTAGCTCCCTGCAAAGTGCTGATCATGGTACAGAGGACACTGCGATTAGCATGGCAATCAGCTTTGGGATCAACCGCTCTGCATAAAGGGAGTGCAGAGGTTAATTGGGTTCACTTTGAAGCCATTGATGGCCTGGCTTGACGGTTCCCATCAGTGCAGTTTACAGCACACCAGCATGTCAGATGGATGCTAATCCCGTCTCAGGCTCCGTAACCCTTTAGCAATGTCAAAGTCACAGACAGACGCTCTGCGAACAGCAGAGGATTCAGGATTGCCCAGGTAGCACCTGTGTGCTACTTGAGTTGACATTCCAGGCTGAATTATGTGTGTCAAGTTCAAAGGCAAGGACAGCGGCATGGACAGCATCCCGGTGCACCACGCAGGAGAGAAGGAGAGGGGGAGATGTAGGCAGGGAAGCAGGCTCTTTGGTACAGAATTTGCTGCAGTGGTAGCTGAAAGGAGGGGACATTGCCATGGGCATGCCAAAGGGATTCAGAATAGTTTAAAAGCACCTGCATTGGCCCAGCTTTCCCACCCTTCTTCTTTTCTTTTTTGATTTGCAGCACATACAGGAATGCCCACTTCCCATCAGCCTCGTTCTGAATGTAATATATCCATTGGAGGCATGCAGCTTAAACATCTCCCTTTCATGTCCCCAGTGCTGCCAGATAACTCTTTAGGGAAGGGGTTTCCTCATTCTGTGCCTTGTTCAGAGCCCAGGACAATGTCAACAAGGACAGAGAGACTTCAAAGAAGTTTGCAAAGACTCCATTTTTCAACTGGGTTTATTCTGCCAGCAACAAAATCTATGAACTGGGCAGGAAGTTGCAATGAATTACCCTTCTCAAACAGTCACAGGAGAGTGGAGACTGTGGCTGAAGACCTGTTATTTACCAGCATCCTCAAAGACCACAAGCTTCAGGCACAATACAGAGCAGCATTTGTACGTGTGTTCATAAATCTCTGTTGGTTGCACAAGGCAACAGGGATATTGGAACTAGGAGCATTTCACCTCGAAGTCAGCCCACATCAGCAGTGAGCAGTCAGCCAACACTGGGTGGGTAAGGAGACAAAGCTGTCTTAGCAGCCAGAAGATATCATAACCACACTATTCAGGGCCCTCAGGACTAGATCTGAGACCAGCTTCCTTGAGCCACCCAATCTAGCCAAAATATTTAAAGGCTAAATTAAAAAATCTCCACTTGAGAGGTGGGAAGAGAAATGCAGAAATTCTGAGCTCTCAGAGAGTATCAGTTTGGAATTTATATAGGTGCTGAGTTACTGGGTGAATGTCTCTGGATGGACAGAAACAGATGAGACTGTGGCCCACGTCCTATTGTACAAGGGACCATATCACTAAAAGCACTACCATAATTGTTAGCAGTCTCAGCTGAGGGCATGGACTGACTGAGCCATGGAGGCTAAACTGATCTCCTAGAGGTGCTCCTTCCAGGGCAGCTTTAAAGCACATTGGTAAGGAGACAATGTAGGACAAGCATCTAGCTCCCGCTGCTCGTGCTGTATCTGTTCCATGGCTAAGCATGGGACTTCAGCCGACAGAGCTCTCAGTCTGGTACCTTCTTCCAGAATTAAATACACTTTGATTCTTTATTTTTTTAAACTACACCTAGAACTGGACTTTCATTCAAATAAATTTAAGTTTCTTATCAGTGTACAAAAATAAAATAAAAATCTGCATTCAAATACCCAGACCTCTGCAGGTCCTCAGGTTTTAATTTTTTAAATTCATTGAATCCAATATCTAATTTTCCAATTGTATGGTTCTCTTCAGCTTGTCTTCTCCCAATCAATACAAATCCCATCTGCCAGTAGGGCATGTGTCACTTATATAAATATCCATTTCCCCCCCAGTTTTCCTTTGGACAGCTCTAATGAGAGATGACATTTACTGCATTATCAATGACCCTCTCACAATCATCTTAGCGGGACAATTAGGGACTCATAACAAATCAATTGCTATTGATTAAGCTGCACGTTCTTACTACAAACTAATGGCTGGAATAGTAAAGGATCCCTGTAGGTGACAGCCTGCACAACATGTGCTAGAAATCCCCCAGCCCTAGAGAGAGAGAGACAGGCAGGCCACGTATATGGAACAGGGCAAGAGGAGCAATTTATCAGTCCACCAGGATGAGGCTCCCCTGCTGTCTGCCTCAGGCACTGCATGCAAAACAGACCATTTAAAAATCCCTTATCTCCCTGAATTCGATCATCTTTATCCAAGTCATTAGGGTCTCAATTTACTAAAATAAGGCAAAAATGGCTCATCCAGACAGTGCTGGTTAACAGGGCGGAATCATTTTAATGCAAACCTATGTGTTCTCACTCCAACAATGAGTGAGCAATGCAAAGCACTGGATGACTCTGGCCATTTTAGCAATACTTTGTGTCTACCTTCTATTAAAGCATTAGACGCAGTTGTTACAGGAGGTTGCACTTGTAACACAGGCTCTTGCATTAATGAGCTTTTCCATATGGAAAAAACACAAAAGCGACATTCTTCACCAAAGAAGTGAAAATGGTCTTATTTTGGATTTAGATACTATAAACATAACCTACTGTAGGCCAAACCTGCCCCCATTTTGTGATAAAAGTATTAGACGGGTCTTTTTTAGTTCCAAAGATTGACTCATTTGTTATTTTACATATTTATGTATATTAAATATGAACCCATCATGGGTCCTAATTACATGCACACAATATTATTAAAATCCATTCACACTGAACCAACACCCAAAACCTAAAGGCTTCCCAAGCCCTCTTCCACTCTCCATGAAGCTCAAATGCTCCCACCACAGCCTGAGTCCCAGTTACTCAAACCCTCCAGGTTCAAGACCTCTGGGATAAAATGGAAGACTGCAATAAGCAAACCTATTCCGGTGTCCATACCTTGCTGAGAGCTCTCACAGGGATAGCCTAGACCTTTATTTCAAAGCGTGGCTGCTAAGAGACAGAGTCCAGGCACAGCAATCAACACAGGTGATGAAGACAAAGCTGAAGGCATTCCGAAGGGAGATTCCTATCTTTAATGGAGGATACATTTATATAGCATTAACTGGACTTATCCTACCCGGTATTTCAAGGAGTGAAAACTACCATCTACGCAGGGAAGAACATGGTTGCAACATTGCATCAGATCACTTACGCATCTTGTCCAATGTCCTACTGCTGGAAATGGCCTATGCTTACTATTCAGGATATAGGTGGAGAAGCTCACATCCATTCCCATCTCCCCCAACACAATATAATGTGAAGTCTTATCCCATTGAAATCAACTCAGTGCACCAGTTCGGTGTTGTGCCTAGGGACCAGGCAGTCACATCTCATGATGCGGGGTATGAGATGGTCACACATGGGGTTGGTGTGGGAAGGAATTTATTGCATGATCCCCATTTACATCACTGATTCCATGGAATTCCTCAGCGTTAAAGACAATAATGGTAGTGAATAGCTTTCTGTCTGCTTGCCACAATTTTGCATTGCTCCAGAATTTGGACTAAAAAACTGGATGAAACAATTTAAGTGTGTGCACTTATCCCAATAAACGTATGCTAGCATGCATAATATTGGTACAGGGAATTCATCCAAAGTCGGTGAATTGTGTTTTTGAAATCCTCAGAACAATAAAAGATTTAAACTCACACATGGAGTTAAGGATTCAAAAAAGGACCAAGAAAGGATGAATTATTTTCATAGTGCAAAAATTCCATTTTGTACTGAAACCTAAAGAAGAATTCGCTTTTTCAAAGTTGAAATTCTCCAATTGAGCTTGCCAGAGCACTCCAGGACTGCTGCAGGCTAGGTTTCTCCATTTATAGCGGAAAAAATTAACATATAATTAGAAAGACTTCATAAGCCCATTTGTGCCACATTACATGTGGGACCATTAAAAAGCACTTTGTCATTTTGATGGGCGATATTTGCCTTTCTACTCTACAGACTGAAATAGTTCTTCAGAAGCAACATGTGAGCTACAAAAGGAGCTATTGTTTGATTCTGAAAGACACTTTATAGTCAAGTACAATTTTTGCTCCAGGTTTTATAATGTTCCAACATAACATTAAATATTTAGATCAACACAAGGTGAGAGTCAGATTCTCAATTAGCTATGATTTTAGCACAAAGGGATCCACATTAAAAGCCTGATCTAACTCCTGCTGAAGACTTCCATTGACTTCCATGGGTGTTGGATCAAGGCGTAAGAAACAAACACCACTTTTTAGAAGAGTGGGGTGAATCCGGAAAAGTTGTGTTTATGCACGTGTTCGAATTCTGTAGTGCTCTTCAGTTCTGCCATGTTCCTGCCACCTTACTATTCGCTCCTTAAAAAGACTGACGCGAATGGGTTTTGTTCACATGGGTGTTTGGGGAACGGCTGATTCTCATACTTTTATGTGCATGAGAGGTTATTTGCTAATCTCCTTTCTAAGAAGGTTCAGTGGCCCAGACATGGAGAACAAGCAACATCATGTGATTTGGATGACCAAATATAATGTATAGTGAATAGATTAGCTAAACCAAACAACCCACAAGCTGAAAACTGTTTGTCCAAACTACCTAGAGAATACTTAAGAATGGATTCATGCACAGATGTCAAGAGCATGAATCATTCAAGGACAGAACAAGCAACTAAATTCCCAGCTAATCTGATTCGCAACTCTTAATTTGACCAGCTCTACTTTCTAGTTTGCAAATCAAAGGGGGTACAGAACAGTACAGAGCTGCGGTGCCCAATGATATTAACAGGCAAATAAGCCCAAACAGCTTTTAACATTTAGCCTCACTCAGCTCTCACTTCAGCAATAGAAAGAAAGGATCAAATTGGCCTGAGAGCCTATTGTTAGGGGCAGGTCCAGTGATGGTTGGCATCCAAAGGTTAACGTGTGGGTAGCTTCTTTCTATGGGATGGAACATTTTAGATATGCCCTCTTTGACATCCATGAGTAACTGAGCTATTGACCCTGCTCCTTTGCTCACTGTCTATCTTTCTGGGTTCTTTCCTGGTGCCCTGTAGCATCAGAATGTTTACCAAGAGTCAGAACAACAACACTGACAGTTTCTCTCTTCTTCCTCTGCAGAGTTAGTGCAGTTTTTCTCCAACCTACACTGTAGCCACACCAGGTTGTGAGTTCTATTCTGAATGCCTCATACACTCGATCTGATTAGCAGCCAACGGTCTGCACGACACCCTCAGATCACTACCAAATCCTCTGAGAAATCATGCATTCATAGGATGCCTGACCTGACAATTTTCATTATATCTGAGGGAGGTGAAGGCCGATTAGGCACGAGAGTGGAAGTGACTGTTGTTAGTGACTCTTACCAATAGCATGGGTGTTTCCCGGTTTCACCAGCAACCAAAGGATTCCATTACAGATCCCGCAGCCCAGACATTCCTGAGGCAGCTTGAGATGCTGGGGGGCCAGCTGAGCACTACATGCGTATGTGCAGAATGGGACAATGGGCAAACAGACAATAGCTGTCTCCAGGTGGTGAAGTAAGTGACATTCCAAACAAGCAACTCAGCTGTCAAGACCCAATCAGCTCCTCGACTGTACTTGTTCCTAAAAGCACCTAAAATAAAACGGAATAGAAGGCCACTTCCATATTTAACTGAGGGCCTGTAAAGTTAACAGAAGAGAATGAACTGAAGACTAGGAAACCAAAGCTCTTATCTTCTGGGACTTTGTTTAGAGGGTGAAGGAGAAGCCACTGCCTGAGGGGTTTTGGGGATTGAAGGAAGAGGACATGCAATGCCAAGCAGGAGCATGAAGACGCTGCTGCTGTCACAAAGCAAAGTGACCTTTTGGTTAACAAATAAAGACGTTTCAATAGTTTCACCATGAGACAATCGGAGCTGTTCTCCAAGTCAGAGCTGCTAAGTGCAGAATATTGTAGGCTAAAATGACAAATACAATCAAAATTTCCCATTTGCAAGACCAGAGACACAGAGGGATTAAGATAGATAATTTAATTAATAAAAGCAGAGGAATCTAAAATTAGCAATCACAATTTCATTAGGAATTTTCACCAAAAGAAATAAGTCTGCTGTATGCTCTTTGAAGGATCACTTTCTTTAGGGTGCCTTTCTTCAGGTCTGTGTTCAATTTCTGTTATGTTGCAAATTTGAGATTTTTAATCAATAGTCATTTTTAAAAGAACAAATTTTTGTTTTTCTTTCATCAATGCACTTACTGTGTAAGTAGATTGCTACTCAAGAGTGATGTATTGTGGGGAAAAAGCAACAGGGAGGAAAACCAGAGCATTACCAAGTGCATTTTCAAGAGTTAAGACGCAGTGATCATTTGTATTAATGAAAAGGATTAAATGTGCTAGTAATAATTATCAATAGGGAGTGATATGTTACAGTAAGTAAAACCTCTTGTGCTTTCTTTGGTTTATCAACTGAATTAAATACTCAACCACTGCTGAAATTGGAATGTGTGAGATGAGAACTCCTAAAAGAACTCTTGGTCCTGCTTTGAGCAGGGGGTTGGACTGGATGGCCTCCTGAGGTCCCTTCCAACCCTGATAGTCTATGATTCTAAGCCTATATACCCTAGGTGCAAAAATCAAGAGCACCTTATGAAATAACAAAAGTTTTAAGAAGAAAGAGCCTGGCTCTGCACACATTAAGGTCAATGGGAGTTTTGGGCCCCAGGGCCTTAACGTCTTTTTGTTCTACAATGTCAGCAATTTCTGGGAAAAACCACATCTTCCTTTTTGGAACACTTGACTTCCACTCTGTACTGAAGAAAGAACTTTGTCGGGCTGTTAACTGGAATCCAGTACTTTGTTACGATGAAACCATTCCATCAGAGAGAATTTATGAAGTATCGCACAGCCTCAAAAGCAAGGCAAGAGGAGCAGTGTGTGCCAAAACAGCCTACCACAGCTTAAATATTTCAGAGAAGACTTGAAAGCAACCAAATTTAACATATAATTCACAGTGTGTATCACTCAGAAACAGCTGTAAATCACCACAAATATTCGTGGGGACTTTAGCTTACCATGGGGGTTGGAAAACCTTAAACTTGTGACACAGCTCCGAGTCACAAGGCTCCAAAATCTTTCTTTCAAGACTCTTGAAAACAGGTTTCCCATGGTATAAATTATCCGTGCATCTACTCTATACAAAAGGTTGCACTGTAATGCAGTCTTATAGTTGTCTTCATTATAGATGTCGCACAATGTATATTTTTTTATCTGAATCATTTTGTTCACTTTACCAGAAGGTCAAGCTTTCAACAGTCTATCATTTCCAGACCTTTTCTCCATTGAAAGCTTTCTACAAACTTGTTTCTGAGCTTAATTTTAAGTTGTTCTGGTGATAAAACAAAATATCAATGCAGTTCTGAGAAGAATGGTTTCATTACAATAAATGTAACCAATAATTTTGAGTTGCAAGTATCTGTCTCTTCAATTTTCCTCTCATCTAATCTGAGAATACTAGTTTAGTGCGCTGAAGGAGCTAAAATTATTATCCAGCTAGATGACATGCAGTACAATTCAGCATTTCAGAAGTTAGAAAGCCAGACATTAGCAAGAAACTACTCAATTTTTCTTTAAGGGGCTCAACATCTTAACCTTTTCATAAGGAGTTTTTCAATAGATGGCATGTGTCTTTAATACCTGCACTAATTATACTGCAGCCAAGAATTGCTCAGAAGGTGCCATTTGTCTATTGTTTCGGTAACAGAGGATTGTAAAACTTGGTCAGAATATATAGTTACACCATAGCATTCTGGTCTATCAGGTACAGATTTATGTTCTTTAATAATTAATCACAGAAAGGCTAAAAATGTCACCGATCAACAGAACAGCGTCAAGAAGCTATCGTGGTCTTTTGGAAGAATATGCTGTGTGACTAGTTAAGGAACGTCAGCGATGCTGTACATGCATAGTTTGTAAGCACTTTGGATCCTTCCGGACACAATGGGTAGCAGAAACAGTTATTCGTAAGTGTTACATTCACTCTTACCTTCCTGTCGGCTCTGCTTGGTGCACAGAAGACATACTCCAGCTGGAAGATGATTGCGAATGCTGGGTGACGGACCATCTCTGTCAAACGAATGCGGCTTCTCAAAACCAGAGCTTGACCTACCATGCTGCGTTAGAATGTAACAAAACCACAGATTAAATGGGGGCTGTTTATTATAGTCCTGCAGAAATTAGCTTCCAGCCGATTCATTCCAGCTGCATCCCTTGCTGGTGCTCTGTTGGTACTGCGTGGCATTGAGCACAGGTCTGGAAATTATTATAAGTTGTTATTTGTATTGTGCAAGCATCTAGGAGCCCGGGCCAGGGACCAGGACTCCATGGCGCTAGGTGCTGTACAAACACAGAACAAAATGATGGTCCCTCCCCCAAAGGTCTTACAATCTAAGAGCAAACCTGATACAGACCGTGGGAAAGTGCTTCTAGAGTTACTCCTAAGATGAGTTCAATTAATTCACTGACATTTTAACAGCAAAGGCTTTGTACAGCCCAAAGAACATGGCTCAACTGTATTAGGCCCACCACCACAAGCCCCTGAGAAACATTCTTCTCTTGAACACCCAGACCTGTTGTTGGGGGTTGTTCTACCTCAAAAACACCACGGGCCTTTTTAAGAAAGGGACGAGTCGTTCAGAGCCCTGCTGACCCATAGCGACATGGGTTGGACAGGACCTGAATCTGCAAACTCCTCAGCTCCCTCTGCAGATGGGAAGGTGCTCAACGCCAGGCAGGATGGGGCCCAGAGCTGGGTAATGAGCTTTCTCCCTCAGCCCTGCCCATTTTCCAATTCTGATTTCCCAGAACTGAAATCCCGGGAGGGCACGCAGGAAGGCCGTCTGATGCTCTAGCCCTGTGGACTGCAGCCCATCTGCCACTGACAAGAGGAGTGACATGGAGCACCACAGGGCAGCCAAAAGCAGCAGAAACCAGCCACTCCTCCGCCGTTACTGGTCCTTTCACTTCATACCTGGGTTTGGCGCTGAGGTCTTGTTTCCTGTGGAAGCTGGCTGAGCGCCCCCGAGCCACCTCGGCCTCTGGCACCACCACCACCACCTGAGGCGTCTGAACGAAGCATAAGCCATTGTGGACCCCGATGTGCAGCCGCCGTTCCTGAATGAGAACTTCGCTCCCGTCCACCATGGAGCTATCCTGGGGAACGGGCCAATTTCACCATGGTTACAGCACAGGCGGAAATAACAGTGCTGCAGAAGTGGCTCCTTCATTACGGCTACCTCCATGGCCCCAGCCCCAGCCCCATCTCTGCTGGGAGAAGCTGGGGAGACCATTGCATTGACATTGCGACCCAGTCTAGGGATGAGCTACACACTTCAGAAGGGATGCTCAGCTCCTGCCTCCCAAATCTGGCCAGTGGGGACTCCCCATATTGGCCTTGGAGAAGTGCACCTCTCCTTTTTAACACGGTTAAGCATGCAAGTAGTGCTGTTCACCTCCCTGGGACTACTCCTGTGCTTAAATTTAAGCACACGCTTAAGTACTTCGATGGATCAGGGCTGAAGTGCTTGGCGAGATTAAAGCCCTCAGATGGGAGATGGCACAATACGACATGGAGCAGAGCCCTGCAAATCCATTTTCTTTTGTGAGTTATGTTTGCTCTCTTCCTGGTTCTCATGCCTCTAGCCAATGAAGGGGCATTTGGAAGATCAGGAAGGAAAATTTAGGCAATTAATCATAAAGACATAAAAATGGAACCTGCCCCAGAGTGATTGCTAGATATTAAAGTGTTTTATCTTAACAGAAAACCCACAGCAAATATGACAAACAAACAAGGATTTTCCTCCCGGTCATTATTGCTTACTAAATTATATGATATTTGAAAATGAACATTAAACCTTAAAGTTCCTTTATCTTCCCATTAATCAAAACAAGTTGACCAAACTGCAACATATTAGTGTTTGAATATTCCAAACATAAACCATGGAGAGCAGCTTTCTGATGATCAAAAAGAAAACCAAGAAGTAAAATGCTAAAACGTAATAAAATTACTTTCATGGTGGAAAATTAGCACACTGTCCCTAAAGCAATCTTGCGCTAGTGCCATTTTTATACGTGTGTCTATTGTATACAAAACAAAGCAACAGCCTTACGGTACTTTCTCCTTCTTTGCTCCTTAAAACTAAAATAATCGCCTGGTTTTTGGGTCTCTCATTTTAGAAAGTTTCCAAAATAATGTTGTAGAAAAAACACAAAAGTGCTGTCGCTGTTGCAAAATACCCAACCCCAAAAAAAAACAACCCCCAGGCCCACTGCTAATTTTCAACCTTTCACGTTCCTCCTCGACTAGGATGGGGTAAGTGGTAAATCGCTGTCGTGTAAGATGAGCACAGATAGAGGACAATGCAGTTCGTCGTGCAAACATGCAATTGTTTTGCTTCTCTGGTTATTAGGGATTTCTTTTCAATCGTGGAGGGACAACAGTACAGAGAACTGGAAGCACTGCAGAAACAGCTCCTCCCTTGGTCGGTGGTATTTTATTATTTCACGGAAAATGGCTGTGTGTTAAGTCCCTAAATAATTATTTTAAACACCGAATCAGGAACTTGTACCTAATCCCTCCTTTTTAGCTACCTGGGGCTTTAATAATAGGATTGTGACTGCAGGGATTTAGATCACAAACGCTGTGTGATAACATCAGCGGTAGGCGATGCCAATACCATGCCCCATGAACTGCTGACTTAGCCAGAAATAAAATTTATCCCAAAACTGGCAGCTACACATGCATATCTTCTATCTGTGTTACCTCCAAATACTGCAGGGCTTAGGTATTTGCACAAACCCCACGCTGATTCAGCTATTCAGGGCAAAGGCTTCTTCAGTACAAGTCCTGTCCGTTGTCTGGCTACAGAGTCTGAGACCCGTCGTATCAAGACTAGCCATTGCAGACAGATAAAGTGGCACCTGCTCACCTTAACAAATGGGCGAGTATGCCAGAGAAGGACATGCCAGCGCTCACTAACTCTCATTTATTGCGAATGCATCTGACGGAGAATCTCTGTCTTGTAGCTGAAGATTCCTGGGCCAGATACCATGACTGAAGCAAGGCTGGGGCAGATCATTACAGGGTTGGGAGTATGAGAGAGCGCCCAGAGGCTTTAGAAAATTGTGATGGCAATTCACTAGGCAGTGCTTCTTGCCCTTGGCCAGTACTGAGCCAGTGCCTCGCCTTTGGGCTAAAGGGAGGTTGGTGCAGTCTTTGGGAAAAGATGTAAGATCCAGGTCTTGCTGTCTGTGGTCATTACATTTCCTAAGGTGCTTCTCATGAGTATAGGGAAATTACTCTCTGAATCCTGGCCAGGTTCTCACTTGGCCAATCATATGGCAGCTCCCTACACAAGCCTTCAGTTAGATAAGGTATTCTGCACACCTTGCGCTGAACTGTTGCGTAGTGTGGCTTTGCACGGTTAAACAGCTACCACATTTCATCCCAGAGCTTGCACTTCAATGGTAGGCAAAGTGCTTCACAGAGATGGTTTATTCAATTGCTAGGAAAGCTATTAACATGCATCTTGAAGAAAATCACCCTATCAATGTCAGTCTATTAGCATGATAAAAATACCGAGATGATAAAAAGAAAAGGAGGACTTGTGGCACCTTAGAGACTAACCAATTTATTTGAGCATAAGCTTTCGTGAGCTACAGCTCACTTCATCGGAATGCATCCGATGAAGTGAGCTGTAGCTCACGAAAGCTTATGCTCAAATAAATTGGTTAGTCTCTAAGGTGCCACAAGTCCTCCTCTTCTTTTTGCGAATACAAACTAACACGGCTGCTCCTCTGAAACCTGTCGAGATGATAAAGGAGTTATTAGTGTTGCCATGATATGTACAGTACCTTAAGTAAACGCTCACTGTTGAGTAAATCCAGCAGCTCTTCCTCAAACTTTTCTAATGAAGGGTACAAATGAATGGACAGCTTATCCAAGTACAATGTGACTGATTTCATGAGGTGGGGTTTTCGAAAGAAATCATCTGAAAAGACATCCAGCCATATGTTACACTGCAGTCACCCAAATATGGCCTTGATAGTCAATCCCATTCTCTGACCAAAGCAGAGAATACAGCTGAAATACGTGGTACTCACAGGGAACTCACAATAATGAGCCCTCATCTTTTCACAGCTAAAATAAATAAACAAATGCTAACTTTGGGAGAAGTCTATTTTCTCCTTCAAAATGCCTCCAGAAACAAATTCGACAATCTAGTCACTAAAAGAAAGTAGATTATAAAGGCAAAGGAACATCTGTTACCTCTTCAGCTTAGTTTCTTTTCATGTCTTATTCTCTTCTCCAGCCAGAAAAAAAGCCAGCTGTACTCCTCCTCCTATTACATCTGCTGTGAAGCATCCGGAGTCTAACACACTAGGAAAGCCAACAGGTCAGCCCGATAATTTAACTGGTACCAATGTGGGGAGCCCCAAGTCCACAACAGATTCGATTATCCCTATGCACCCGCTTGAGAGAGCGAGCGCACCACACAGCAATTTGAGGAGAAGATGCCTATTCAAGCGCCAGCATGAGTTGCAATGGGCGGAATGCACTTGCAGTTGCATATTCAAGGAAAGGACAATAGGGGAATATGTGACAGTCAAAAATATTGGGGGTGGAAGAATAAGCCGTTCTTGTTCCCTGGACTAGCCCCTTCCTGGGTTATTTACTTCCCCACCCAGCTGCATCACCACTTTTTTAAATGCACAAGGCCACTCCTTCTAAAAATGAAATCTTCGTTCCGATCCAGAACAGCCAACGAGCAAGAACAGGATAAGGATGACATAAACCGAATACAGCCCTCCACTGCCCATCTCTCTCCTGACTTCTGTTGTTCTAGCAAGTCACGGTATCATTAGAGTCTTCTTTAGCCCAAGATACCCATACCCAGCTCAGACCTGCTCCATGAATCCAGACTGACTTTAAGCAGAGTGTTTATTGCAGCAGCACACAAAGAGTTTCGAGCCAGAGAGCAGTGAAGTAGTGGATGTTTAAGAGAACCTGGGAAAATTACTCTGACCAACCCCCTCAACTTTGCTGGCAGTAGCAGGAGTGGGGAACATACTGGAGTCCTTTAAATAGGAAGGCACACACATGCTTTAGATAACCCAGACCAGCAGCTACTCTATTGTACAGAATTACATTTCACTTACCAAGACTACCTGGGGGGAAATGCTGGAAAGGATAAATCCAACTCTAAACTGCGCAAATTCTCTGAGTGCAGAGGGGTAGAGTGACAACAGCAGATTTAGAGATTTTTGCACGGCAGGGCTCGGAAGGAAAACTGAAATTGAGTGACCCCATACTCTACTTTGTTTTGGCTGCACTCTACTAATGGGCAGAGAGCCAAACTAGGCTCGGTGACGATGAAAGGCATGGGTTGAACCGAGGGCCACAGAAAGGGCATGAAATATGAATATATATAGAAGAAACAGTTGAAAATGGAACAGACAGTCTCTAGCATTGACAATTGCAACCATGACCTTTCCAAGCACCTAACCAAACAGACCAAGGTTTCATGCAAATTTAGAAATTCAGAGATCACTGCTAGATTAAATATGCAAATAGATAAATAATGAACCATTTATTTATGCATAAGTATTTCCATGGATCTTGGTACTGCAGGGTCCCACCAAGTCCACCATTTCCCCGTTATTACTGATATTATTTTAAGCCACATATAAATATCCCTTTGTCATCCTGAAAGACCTGGACTGTACAACTCTTACTCTCCTTAGTGAGCATTTATTCACAAGAGTAGTTCCTCTGACTTCCAATACCCACAGGTTTTAGGAAGGGATTTGTACAGTTTAGTCCATGGTGAATATCACCCATGTATTTCCCATCAGGCAAGCCTATGGCAAGTATTCTGAACTCCAGCTGTTTTATTTTAATCAAAGCTGAGTTGTTTTCTCTTGCCCTAAAAATACAAGACGAAGCAAGTCACAATGCTGATCACTGCCAAGGCTGCCAATCATTCCACCTTGCAGGAACTGGAGGGGCTGCAAGTTTTGGGAAGTGGAAGCAAAAATTAAGGAGTAGGAACACCTTCCTTAAGAGCTTTTTCCACAGAAAGGCACCTAAGATTTTATCCTCCTCCACAAGACTCACAGTTGAGCATTAACAAACCTACACTACATACTTAAAAGCAAAACCTGAAGTCTATAAAGTGCCTAACAATAGAATTCAATAATACAACATCTCAGGGCTAGTCAGAGCTGCAGGAGCCTTGAGGAATGAGGGAGTTCATATCAAATTAGTGCTAGTGAAGCTAGAATCTGCCTTAATTTGATTTTAGAAACCAAATATACCTTCCTGATTTCATTTACTCTGTTATCTGAAGATTCAGTCTATCAAATTATAGGGTATGTTTTGTTTAAACTGCCCATTTAAAACCAATTTCAACCACCCTGTTCCTTTATGTCCAGCTTTCAAGCAGTATTTATTGCTTAGTTCTTTAGCTTAAGGCAGGGGAGGGGAGAAGAGCAGAAAGAAGCGAAACTTATTAACTTTTCAGGACAAAGCTTTTCTTGACAACCAAACAGCAGGAAATCACCAGCATTGTTTTAGTTAAGTTGTTAGGCTTTTAAAAATGAATTAACTAACTGAAAGCAAAGAGGTGACAGGGAATAGGCAGGATGAACAGCTCCATGCTCGTGTATTGGTGGGCGATTTGGTAATAACACTGCTACATTTATACTGAAGTCAGATGTTTGCAAATATCCCTGACTAACCTTATTCAGGGCCCCAGTTCAGCCAGGAACTTAAGCACATGCCTAACTTTAAGCATGTGAGTAGCCTCACTGAAAGAATGACTGAATTAAATTAAGTTAATTGAAAGTCAAGATGTTAAAGGCAATAGCAAGGATTTCCAGGGGATTACTCGCAGGTTTAAAGTTAGGTATGTGCTTAAGTACCTTGCTGATTTGGAGTCAGAGAGTGGTTGTGGCTCTCATCGTCTTCCGTCTGAAAACTGCTTCACTTTTCACTGCTCATCGAATTCAGAGGCCACCGCCGGCAGGCTGCAGCTGATCAGCCTCTGGTTTCCGAAGGCTGAAGGCTGTAGGAGTGTTACTGCAAGGGGCTGCGTATTGGGAAGGTGTATGGAACTCAGCTGGACTTTCCCTTACAACACATCTAATTGATGTGCCCTTACTGCAGCTGAGCCGCATGTGGGTGAGCAGTGGAGATATACAGCCCCATGTGATCAGCCGGTGCCTGGAAGGAGAATGCTGAGTGCACTTCCTTATCAGCAATCAAAGAACCATTCTTCCTCTGCATGACCGTTAGTGTCCATTTCCCCTGCCACACTGTACCTACCCTGTATACCCGAGCAGCTGATTTAGGGCTACCAGAGAAAACAAAGAGGAGCAGGACGCAGCGAGCTGAATTTTCCCTGCAAGGTACTTCTGAGACTATCAATGTATTGGCTTGATTGTTTGTTCTGCCAGTTGTTTGACTGGTAGCTGAATTTGCAAGTCAAACCCAGCAGGTAGATTGGGAAGGCTTTGTGTGACTATCATGCCTAAAATGCAGTTCCCCTCATCTGCCACAAGATGGGACTGATGCTCTGCAGCTAGAGGCAGATCTCAGTGGATGTACAAGTATACTGGGCTATACAGTGAGGAAATCATCTGAAGATGCAGAAAAATGATGTCTTCCTCCCGCTGGCAAGAGCGAGGAGCTCCGAAATCTGAGCAATGGGAGAGAATGGAGAAGAAAATCCTTTGGAGACATGCATGACGAAGAGTGGCTCTACTCCAGCTTTTCAGATGACTGGCTATTTACTAGCCACAGTCAATGCACTCACAAGGCCACCTGGCATCTCCAGAGCTTCATTATTGCAACCACGTCATTGTCAAGCTCTGCATGTGGTGGCTGCGGTTCTTGCAGGGGGCTCCTTTGCTCTGGAGATCTCACAGTTTCTGATAACGTGATGGCTTTGTCCTCAAAGAGAGGCATCCATGGGAGTTATTATTAGAAGGTTCTTCTAAGCAGAGGGAGTCACCACTGAAGAACTGATGATCTTGTCTTTAGCTCTTAACTTTTCCAAATCACATGGATTTAGCCACCAAGCCACCACTAAATGCAGAGCTCTGAAAATTCATGAGTAAAGATTAGTAAGGTTTTGGTGTATCAGAATCACATCCCACTGCCCTTGCCAAATCTCCACTTATCCAGAACAATGCCATGAATAAGGATGTCTTTACAGCTTTTATCAAAGTTCTCTCTTAAGACTCCACTAACTGACTGACTACTTAAAGAGTCCATCATTCATCTAGAGCAGCTTCCCAGGAAGAGAAGCAATTAGCAAAAAAAGAGGATTAGATTGAAATGATTCTGTGTCCCCTTTAAGGATTAAAGATACAAACTGTTGTGATTACATTTGTATGAAAAGAAAAATTCCAAAGAATGTACAAAATACTTCCAAGATATTTAACCTCAAGGAAACATTATAACTAGAGAGAGGCAATTGGAGCCTGAAACTAGAGAGGAACACTTTAAGTTAGACATTAGGAAACCTTTTCTTTTCCCAATAAGAGCAAGTAGCCAGTGGAGTAGATTCCACAAGCACCATTCATAGCTGTTGAGGCCCAAAGCGAACTTTATGATTATGTAGACTGACTTCCTTCACAACACAGGCCGAAGAACCTCACCCACTAATTTCTGCATCAAACCCATAATTTCTGGTGGCGCTAGAGTAGATCTTTCAGGAAGATAATCAGTCTTAGATTTTGCGTCACTTGCAGTCTTTAAACCATCATGTCCCCAGGAATCCAAGCTGGTCCAATGGTTAAATACAACCATTAACATTCCATCAACTGGGTAGATCAGATACTTGGAAGAAACTGTCCTTTGAAATCCCAGGTTCAGAGGGAGACCCCAGCCCCACAATAGTTCTGGTCCTTTTAGTCAGGCATCTGTAAAAGCAAAGCTCGGCATGCTGCCTGGGAACAAGGATGTTATTTCAAATAAGCGAAGCCATTGTTTCCATTGACGTCATTTTGGTGGGTTGCTAGGTGTTCCCCCTGAGGTTTCAGATTAGCACAGATTAATATACCTGAGCTTTTGGGAGTGAGCTTTACACTACCAGATCGTGGTTTTTTTCTTTTTACCCCCAAAGAACAATTCATTCTCTTCAAAGTTTCACAGTGGGGTTTCTCTTAAATTACAAATGCTGTTAAGCTACGTATTTCATTGCTACTGTAAATATTTGAGTGTTATATAGTCCTGCTTCCAGGCACTGGAGAGCTGGGTTGGGCTCACTGTCAAATGGTCAAGCTTATTCAGCTCCCAGTGGATGTTTCAGGTTTTAAGAAATGAGATAATTTACGAAAAGGGGATGAATGGCTGGCTCTCCCTGCTAGCCTTTTATTTTCTCTGAACTTAATTCCCTTTGGCACTTTTTTCACCATACCATTTCATCCCCTCCTCCTTAAGAGCAACTTGAGGTATGTCTCCAACAATTTACACACTTTGCTTCAGTCTGCTCTCAGGGTAATTTATTCCATGTATTCCATACCCTTTGCATGAAGCAATTTAAACCAAATTCCCCATTTACTCCGGCGTGCCTTCTCTTCGTTATTATTATTCATGTGCAGTGCAGTAGCACCAAGGGGTCTCAAACACTGTGCTAAGTGCTGTCTCTGCAAAAGACATGTGTTGACCAGAAGACTCCAACAATACTATGGGGAGGGGGAGGGGGGGGACCATTCCTCTACTGCTTTCATGTGCTACATTGATGAAGGAGGGAATAGATCTAGAGGTGAAAGCAGGGGACTGTGAATACTGGGTTCTAATTCTTCCCCTGCCACTATCACTTCACTTCTCTAATGCCTCTATTTACCCAGCTGAAAATGAGGATGATATTTACCTATTTCATAAAGAGACTGTGAGTCTCAGCTAATTAATATCTGTACAGAGCTTTGAATCCGCTGATGAAAGGTGTGACATACATTCAAAGAATCATCATTTCTCGTCACATCCACAATTTCACTTGCTTTCCCTTTTCCTGTAGATCCGTTTAGCCATCTCTGTGCTAACATTTAAAACACACTAGGACAAACTCATCCCTAGTCTCGTTCCCATGACTTCAGAGCTGATTCACCAGGGATGAGATTAGCCCAGAGTTAGGTGATTTATCCAGCACGCCCCCGTGGCTTTGTTCTCTCTGTGGAGGAGACAGATGCTAGCAGATGATTCATTCCCAGAAGTGGCACCTGATGCCGTGTGGATGTTACGTCTGGGGCTGCTCTATGTTTAGGCTGTTGATGGGCTTTTTTTTGGCTTCTGAACAGCATATTCTGTTAACTATGTTTATGCCTCTTTGACTTTGCTGTATTAATGGGCTGTAACACAGGATGATATCAAGCCATATGATTGACCCACATGGACACCTGAGCTCTCCCATTTCTCTCTCAAAAATTTCCCACGACTGATCTTATCCTCTTATTGTTATTCTATCTTCCCTTCCCCCCCACCCCCATTCAAAGAACAGGCAGAGCAGTTTGGTTTATTTTCTTTTGTGCCATTCTCAGTGGCTTTTCAGGAAGGCTAATGCCAAAGAGGTGGGTCTTAAATCTTTCCCTGAAAGCTGTCAGACTTTCATCCTCAGCTCCTGGGGCAGGCAGTCCTCAGCGCACTGGCTGGCTGCTGAAAGGCTCTGTTCCCAGTCCTACTGTGATCAGCCTCTCTAGTGAGAGTTCCTTTGTCCCGGAGGAGATCTCTCTGGGTATACAGTACATTTCTTTCAATAGAATGCCCGTTCCAGTTTCCATCCAATAACAATTGGTCTCTGTGCCGCATCACTCCTGGCCCATCTCTGCTCTGTAACTGTGTTTGTTGTCAGTACGGATCCACAAAAGCAAGATGCACAGACTGAGAACTAAAAAGGAAAATGAAAACTAAACATCTACGGACATTAATATCTAAGGCATCTTTTACCTACAGGCCTATTCTGCAATCCTCACTCACCTAAACAGTCCCACTAGTTAACATAACTATTACCATGATGAAGGGATGCACGACAACCCCTCATGTGTATTTAGTCACAATCAGCGCTATCTTCACTCCCAACACTTGGACCAACAGTCCAGGTAAGTGCCAATAAAGGACACGGCTTTAAGATGTAGCAATAAACATAAGATCTTGTTGTAAATTCATGAAGAACTCAGGTACACTGTAAACCATCAGGTCTTATTTATTTGCCAATGATTTCCCCATATAATTCATAATGAAATAACATAACTTGGTCCAATAAAATCAGCACAGACTCTGCCTTGCTCAGACAGATATCAGCAACTCAAGCAGATGTCAGTTCGTAAAAATTGGCTGAGCAGGTCCAGTGTTCGATCAGCAAACTATGAAATGTTATTGCAGTGTCTCTATTTACCAGCAGCGGATACACTGGACCAGTGAGACATGAATAATTGATTGTGCTGTTTGTTAGCAGGCTTGGTTACCACAGACAAAGCAGAGCTCATGTTCCTTGCAGCCAGAGGAAAGTTGCATGAAAAGGATTCTGGCAGGAACACGTGCTGTCTGTCTGGTGTGGGTTTATGTCTCTGGGTCACAACCACTCCCTTCTCAGCTGAGATTCCAGAGGCACTAACAACAGAAGGAGAAACTAGATTTGTGACCCTTATTGATGGTGCGTTAGCCTCTGTCCTGACAACTGGCAGGTCAAAGAGACTGAAACTGGCCCAGATTATCTCCCCCAGACACATGAATGTGGATCTCCACCCACAACCCCCTTCCAACATGGAAGGAGGCGAGCCCAGCTGCTTATATGGCACCATGCCCTGGGCCACATGCACAGGGGAAGGTGGGTGGGGGAGAGTGGGCAGGGCAGAGATAGGGCTGCACACAGTCCCACTCTCCTGCCCAATGGAGTCTCGGTGAAAAATTAGAGGCCAGGGTTGTATTACCTTTACGGCAGAGCCCCAGCATGTGGGGCCCAGGCATTGGAGTGGCAAGGAGCGTCCAAAAGCGCCATGCTGATGGGGGAGCACACAAGCAACACTGATCCAGACCCGGAGCAGAGACGCAAGACTCTGAGCAGATGGCTCTGACCTCCCAGAGTACCTGGGGGCATTCATGGAGTTTGGCTGCATCCCGTGACCTATCTGTGGGAAGGTTGGCAAACCGCACTCCCACCCCCAACAGAAGAGGGGGCAGACCGGGACGGGATCCCACAGAGACTTATCCAGGGATAGTCCAGGCTTTCATTATCACGCGCTAGTGACAATAAACGCGTCCCAATCGCACTGTAGTTTAGCATTTTACAAGGGAACTCTCCCTAACCTCCTCATTTACTGGAAAGGGGCTACCACTGACGAAAATGTAGAACACTGTGTACACAAAGCTGCAGCCTTTCCGAACAGCAAAACACCACGTGTCCATAAAAACCCACCTTCAGCTTAAAACCCACAGGAAACCCAAGGAAATGTCCACCGGGGGGGGGGGGGAAATCGAGGTGGGGGGGCAACACACAGGCTGTGGAAGAACAGGCACAACGGACTCGTCTGCAAGTTGTTTTATGAGCCATCGACAAGGCTGGCTGCACCTCAGCAAAGAGCTGAGTCACAGGGATTCGTGCTCAGATGGCCATTGAGAGAGAGAGTTTACGTGAAAATCCTGCTTTCTTTCTTTATTTCTCAGAAGAGGGGTCGCTGTGGTTCTTTTGCGGGTGAGCACGACATTTTCACGGCTAGATTTTTCATTTATAATCCCTAATTACTGGCACTTACAACAGCAGCAGTGCGTCACACACTCGGCGTTGCAGGCATTGCTTGTATCTATTCGGCGCCTTGGCAATTGATGCACTGCGTTAGCAGAGGAAAGCAAACGCTTGTGTGATAAGGCCACATTCACCTTGAAATCCCTTCCCACTAAAAACACCCAGATGAGCACATTATATGCCATACACAGGAATCTCTGAATTATGACCCCCTGGAAAACACTCCGCTTTATTTAACAGCGGTGACCCTACTTTTCAATTCCGCTTCCCCTTCAAAGTAACAGTACTGGGGGGAGAAAACTATAACATTTCCCTCATGGTCTCCCTTCCGCCTTCCGCGCAGGTACTATTCCTCCGGGTGACAAGGAAACGTATGTCTTTGCCTGCTAGGCTGTGCCAGGCATTTCTTGTGCCCCACATCTGGTACCTGGTGTATTTAGCAGGAGCACACTAGTTGTGTTGTAATGAGAAGCAGCTGGTGCATTTGGAAGCTCAGGTTTGACCACAAACCAGCAACAGAAGATGTGCGTAAACTTAAAATGGGTGGGTCTGAATCTCCTCTGGCTCACATCAGCATGAGCCCATTGGCCTTCATGGAGCTGCTCCCACTTTGTGAGAGTGCAGTGGCTGGGAGAATCAGGCCCTATAAATAAATACATTTGTACCGTGCAGTGCTTTCTGGGCACCAGATGTTCTGCAATAATCCCTCCCCAATCCCCTTCAGCATCCCCTTCCCTTCTCTCCATTCCCACAGCCCCTCGCCCACTCCCTGATCGGGGGACCAGAGGTCGGCCGGTCTCTTCCCATCCCACAATGGTCACACTGGCTGGCGTGTGTTTCAGATCTCCCTCCGGTAATAACTGATGGGTGGAGAAGGCTGGGGCCTGTCTCAGAGAGCTCACAGAGCTTTGCTCTGCCAGTAAGATAAAGTCCAGCTGAACCCCCAGATCTGGCAGGCCAAGGCCATAATAATACAAATGCTCACAATTCTATAAGCAGGGAAAGTCCAGAGTAACTCACGAGCACTGTAGCTTGGTACGTACTATGCCAACCTTACTGTCCTGTGGTCTGATTACACATGCAGGAATCAGAATGGAAGGATCCCTTACTTGTTTCTCCATGTGTTAGCAGCAAACCAGGAATTTTCTGCAGCCCAGACACCAGCATATTCTCAGGGAAGAGGTGATACATGGTCTCGAGGGGCGGGTGTGGCCTTAAGGTGTACTGAAGGTGAGTGTTCTCTATCACCGTCATGTGTTTATTCTCTAAAGAGGGGAAAACGTTATGCAATATCTGAAAACACAGAGAGACAGACTTATAATGGTGCTACCCGTTGGAGAAGCTGATCGAATTAAGGTATCAATACATGCGCACTTTATCAGCAATGTAAAACCTGTTTTTAAAAAGTCTGTTTTCTTCATAAATGAATATGCAGCCTTTTCAGGCTTAGCTTTGTTAAGAGTTCTGGGCTTACAAATCCTCACACTGCAACTTCAGGGTAAATGAAAACAATGCCCAGTCTCTGGAAGATTATGATTAAGCAACTTAAAATTACTTGGATCTACTCTCACTCAGCTGTGAAGAAGAAAGAAGAAAATCCATCCCTTTTTCAATAGCACTGCAACTAAATGCTCTTGTTTAGGTTGTTTCTTAATCTTGTGTGTTCTATTCAAGTCCCCATCTAGACATATCTTCAAAAGACCAGCATCTGAGTCCCATTCAGAAAAGAACAGGGCCTGCACACAGCTGATCTTGGGTGCATTATGATATGTCTGTGCCATTTTAGTTCACAGTGAAAGGCAAATTCTTAATCCATAACAGCTGCCAAAGGCTCCCTGGGACACTTGTTTTTAATTGAACTTCCCTAAACTTCTTGTGCTAACTTTGCTCCCTCTTCGTAGTACAGCATGAGATGGGAATAGTGAAACTGGCTGCATCTCCTGCTGTTTCACTGTATGCACTCAGAAGAGCGACCCTTTTATCTTTCTGCTGCACATCTTTGTATCGTGAGCGATTCATTCGGTGGAGGTTCGGTTTCCCCTCAGGAACTGAAATGCAGGAATCAGTGGTACACACCCTGATACCTGGCATCTCCCAAGTGCTTTCAGCAGTCTAACAATGGTCTCTGCTCTCAAGCTGCTGAGAGGTATTTGCTACTCATGGGCTTCTCTCACTGAACATTGCAGCAGCCCCAACGCAAACTGGGAAAACTAGAGTGCTTTCTTTAAAAAATAAACTAACTCCTTCCGAGGTGATACACTACAGCTGCCTCTAGGGGGTGGATCCTGAGCACTTGGATACTCACCTGCAGGTTATTCCTCTTAGACGGCAATAAACACAAGCCATCTTCTCTGGGGAAGGCTTCAATACATAGACAGCTTTCCAGTGGGCAGTCACAGTATGCATCCGATGAAGTGAGCTGTAGCTCACGAAAGCTTATGCTCAAATAAATTGGTTAGTTTCTAAGGTGCCACAAGTACTCCTTTTCTTTTTGCAAATACAGACTAACACGGCTGTTACTCTGAAACCAATTGAACTAGTGTTCATCATTTTTCAGACATGGTTATTGACCAGCATCACCAGGCAATCACGGCACCTATTTCTGCCACTTACCACCGAGGCTCAGTCCCTGCATTAGTGGACATGTATTTGCTTTGTTTGCTAGTATGGTGAGTATTGTTTTCCTTGCTAGGAAAGAAAACAGTTTCTAGAAATGACCTTTCACAAAGACCCCTATCCTGGGCAAAAGATGCTACCTAGCTTCCAACTCAGGAAAACAAATCTGACAAGTCTTTGTGGAACAGCAACCAAGCCTTAGCTACGAAGTTTTGTTTCAGTTACATTTTGCTTTTGAAAGCAACTTGAAATCCACCCCCTTGCTCATTTCCTTTGGGCAAGCTGCAGAATAAGTTACCCAAAATTTGCTAAAACTGCTCAGTATATTTCTCTGAATGGTCAGTTTTAGAGGTGGGCCAAAACCATAGCCATGTATTCAAATCCACATTGGCTCCCCACATTTTGACAGCCTGTGTAAGTTCAGCTAAATGAACCAAGAACCAAACACCTCCTAGGTTTGAATCCGCAAAATAAAAACCTACCAAACGAGGTTTTTCAAAATTAAAATTACCCCTGGTTTAACCTGCTCTGATTATGTGTACACGTTCTTCCCCGTTTCTAGCAGCAGATATTGGAGTCACGCTGTTATCATTACTATCCTATTACTGAAAACTCCCATGCATCCCTGATATTTGAAAAAAGAAAGCATGTGTCTGACTAGCACAGTAGGAAGTGGAAATACAATGCAAATTCTTCCACTGACTCGAATGGGCACTGGATTGGACCCTTCATCTCTGCAAACAGGAAACCAGCCTGGTGGAAGGAGACAGGGCACTGGAGAGCTTGTGGAAAAAATGGTCTTTAAAAGCAAAACTGGTGAAAGTGCAACTGACCCTCCTTCCTGCTTCCGCTTCTGGAACATCCCGAAGGTTTCTCAGGGCAAACGACCACCACCCAGCTTTGCTACAGTTCATTAGCAAATTCAGTACCAACCTTCAGGAAAACAGTGCACAAAGGGACAAGAGCCAGGCATGTTCAGAAAGACAAGGTCCTTGTTACACGCTTTACAAGGCAGCTTGCTCTTATATTTAATATTTTATAGTGCACTTTTCCTGCTCTGTGGGCTGTGTTCCATCAATACGTATATATCAATAATTGAAGCCCATTTGTGTTTATCGGCTGTGTCAGGTTTTCTTGCCAGTATCCACAGAGGCACCTTTTTCCATACATTGCCCATCTTTCACCTCTCCCTGCCTGTACAGATATCCAGTCTGGGCCTGACTGAGCCAGTTCGCTGAGTGCTGAGCTCTGCTAGGGTCATCTAGCTCTCTCTCTTACAGAAGTGGGAATTAGAGGTACCCCTGTGGTACACAGAACTATTGGCACCGCTGATGCGTGGTCTTCCTCCAGCTCAGACAGGACATTTGGCACTAGAAAGGACAGCTTGTGAGCCCGTTTTCCAGGCAAAGGAAAAAGAATCCCTTCTTCTTCCTTCACGACAGCTTTCTGCTTAGCTTTAGCTATCCATGTTTTCAGTCTGGTTCTTTCCAACTTAAATCGTGGGGTGGCTCACCTCAGTGTCTCTGTAGCAGGCTGCCCACTGCCAGGTATGAGAGAGAGATTCAACTCCTGGGCTCACTCACTCATTCTCCAGGATGTGGCACACTCAGAGAACTCCTCCTGCCCTATAACTGACACGTGGGTGATCTAGGAGCTCTGTAGGTCAGCCCCCACTGGAGCTGCTATGGTGCAGGATTAAGTGTGAGAGGGAGACATGGTTGGGGAATCCTCCATTGCAGACTAGAAAATGCAAACTTACAGTCTAGAGGTGAATTTGCATGGCAGAGCCATGCATCAAGCTAGATACAGACTCACTGCCATGTAAAATACCTATAAAATACTGAGAAAGGCTGGGTGGGGTTTGGTGGGCAGATTGTTTGATACACTGTGCTCTGGGCTCATTCTGCCTTCCCCAGCAGATGCGTCAAGGCTATTATTTGCTTGTTGAGAACTGACAATGGTCTTGGTGCTGTACAAGACCCTAAATGCAGACTCCATGCCCCAAAGAGCTTAAAAATCCTGCAGAGACTCTCATCCAGTTAACTTTATTCACGTCAAGCAGAGCCAACAGGATGACTCACATGTGCTAAATTGAGTCCGTGTGGAAGTCTCTGCGGGATCAGGGCCTAGCCAGTGGACATGCTGTCATGGGACGGGATTTGATCGATGCAGCAGAAATTAAGCCCCTTTTCTCCTTACGCCCCAGAAATGGGCCCCTGCATGAACGACAGCCGTTAATGTTGCAGAGCACATTGCTGAGGCTGCCAGTAGCCCCAGCTATGACAAAGAGCCTTGGGGTGCTGCCAACCCCACTGCCCATAAGCAATAACTGGCCCTGGCCTCAAACAGCCTGGCATACAGCACAGGGGCATTTCACAGCAACCAACCAGCACCCTTGTCTTCAGGGCTTTTCTTCTGATCCATTTTGGGTGGCTAATCCTGAACCTGAGCAGCCAAAAGCTTGAGACACTAACACAGAAAACAGCCAACGCTGCATTGAGCAAACGAAGGCACAGACATGTTACTGACCAGCCCGGGAAGAAAGTCAAGTAGAAAGTAGTTCTATATGTCCTTACGTTCCATTGGGTCCTGGAGGAGGGGGTGCAGGAGCGCTCGCGGTGTCCCATGATACAGCTTGAGCCTAGATTTAAAGAGGAGCACAAACCAAACATGGCCGTTTAGATGGCTATATTCCAAAGTGAATTTCCCACAATGGTTCTGTTGATCAATACACAGCAACCCTCTGTTCCAGTCCCGTGAACTCTCCGCCAGCAGATTGGTCTCCTGAGAGCCTTGAGCAGCAAAGGAGGGCAGGTGACTGAGAAGCCAGGTCCTTTGCTTCAGGTTGATTCCCCAGGGAGTGGACATAGATATTCCCTTGAAAACCTCCCTGGTTTGAGAAGCTTCCCCAGTGGCAATGGCTGGTGGGTAGGCAGGATCCAGTGTACAACAGGCGTTACACTGGGTATTTACAGGGAGTTTGACAATGTCAGCGTGACAAAGTGAAGCAGCCACCAGGAAAGGGTTCAGAGAAGAAGAGGAAGAGGAAGCAGGCCTGGCGGGAGAGTGTCTCCTCTTTCCCCTGGCTGGCAAGGACGGTGGGCGACTGACCTGCTTTATTTTTGGTTATTTATGTCTTTCATGCCCCAAGTGTGGGGTGTGGCCGCGCTCCCCTTCCCAGGAGCAAACTCAGCTTACAGTCAGCCGGGCTTCAAGAGCTTCAAGGCAGAAAGAGCTGCCTTCCGCTGGCCCTGGAAAGGGGGGCTTGGCTGAGTCAAGGCTGTGAACTCTGCACACATGCGGGACAACACATGGGCATCACTTGCTGGGTTACAAATCCAGCAGCTGACCTCACCCAACCTGCCACCTCAGGCCTGTCAGCTGAGGTGAATAAAGGCCCAGCCACAAGCCACCAGGACAGCTGTAGTCCATGCAATTTTCATATATGTAGCCAAGAGTGGAAAAGGCTCAACCCAAACCTGTTTAAAGTATGTATATGACCCCCCACGAGCAGTGTATCCTCATATGCTCTAGTTATCCCCATTTTAGAGATGGGGAAACTGAGAGACAGAGAGAAAAAAATGACTTGCTTAAGTTCACACAGGCAGTCTGTGGTGAAGCAGGGTCTCCAGGTCCCAGGCTAGTGGCCTAATCACGGGACCATCCTTCCTCTCTAAATGGAGAGCAATAACTCCATGTTGCCATAGAAACCTGATTCCACCTTATAAAATGCTACAGCAACTCGCAAGTCTCGCTGTCCCTTGCAGCCGGCAACACTTACTCTCCGTCCTTTGTGGCCACATCAGTTGGTCCTGACTTGCTGCTGAACAGGTGCAGAATTCCAAACCCACAAGACAGATCCTGGTGGGTCCCTTCTCGCTTCTTGGCCGCAGCCACCACTTCCACCACCGCAACGATGCTGGGGTGGTTTAAAGATGTGTGAAAATAAATGGTCTGGGGGAGGAGGGAGAGAAAGAACATGGCAGATTTCAGGCCTGGGTGGAGTAGCTATTAGCAGCTGAATGCATGTTACAGTTGGAGAGTAAGGTCCAGGTATATTCAAAATGAACAGCCAGAAAAACAGGCAGACAGTGAAATGTAGCAGTCTGCAGAATAATCTCCAATAGGAACTGATGGAAGCTCCATTGCAAATGATCCCGGGGGTCTGGGAGGGTAACTAACAGTAATCGTTCATCTCCCACACACTGTATCACTAGGGAATATTTTTTAAAGGGATCCTACTAGAAAGTGTAGAGTTCTTGGGGCCGGTTTACCAATGGGACTTCGTCTCCTTATGTCTGCGCAATGCCTAGCACATTTTGGGTACCACTGTAAAAAGAAGAAGAAAAAAATCTAACCTTCAGGTCAGGTCAATTCCCTCCTACGAAGAATTAGCCTAAGAGCTGGGACTGCAAGAGAAATCCGCAGTCTGTTAGTGTCTATTATCACCCACTCATTTAACTGGATAGCCAGTCTGTGCCTCTGAATGCCTTTACCTCGCCAGTGTAGATCCATGATCTGGCCACCTTGATGCTGGACTATTGCAAATATGCTCAGTCTAGAGAACGACTCTGCAGATCGTCCAGAAACTACAGCTGGTTGAACAGACAGGAGCCTGCTGGGATCACATCACACCATACTCCACCCATATGCTGCACTGGCTGGTAAGATGAGTTCTGGTCTCTACTTTTAAAAGCTCTACATAGTCTTGTATTTAGCTTCTCATTACACTCCTTAACTGCATTGGAGGGGCTATTAGGGCTGCTGGAAGCCAGGGCTCATGCTCAGTGGGGAGAGGGGAGAGCATTCCAGATGAAAGTGCCTTCACAGAATTCCCAGCTGTCAAAGACCCAGCAGAGCTCGAATTTCCCCCCTGAGGTGAGCACTCTCCTAAACTGGAGGAATGGCCCTGCTTGCAGGTTCCAAGAATGGCGCCACCAAGTCCACACAATCCAGCACTAATATGTTCTGGGGAGAAGTGATTTGTACACTTCTGTCCTACGGAATTCAGCTAACGTGTGTGCAATGCCACATGGGAATGGCACCTAGGGGCAACCCTGCCTCTGTCCTGTTACAGGTTACATTTCCCCAACTTAAATTGAGATATTTAGGACTAAAGCTAGTAAATGTCACAAATCCTGAGAATGGACAGCATTGTTAAAGCGGCCCACTTTCCCAAACAATAAGGATGAGTTATTCTTAAGCTGCAAACTCCATAAAAGTATGGTTCAAAGGTTTCAACTGACCTGAAGATACCATTGTGAGCTCTAGGCTAGAAAAGCAAAGTGACTGGAAAAATCTAAGGCCTATCATGACCTTCACCTGCGCTGATGTGAAAGAGAGTTATCCATGAGGATCAACAGTATGATATGGACCTAAGAGTACGGGGTTGAGGGGGAAGGGGGATGTCTGCCAGTGACATGACTGAAAGCCAGGCTAATCCTTCTATTAAACAGTCATTGTAATGGTGTCACCGAGAAAACAGCTACAGTAATCACAGACTGTCAGGAAGGGATAACAGAGAAAGGCATTAAAACATCATCCCAGAGAAATAAATCATTATTCGATTAACTTTTATTGCAAAATGATGAAATAATGACCACTAACTGCTGACAGGTGACTGGACCGAGAGAGAATTATGTTTTGGCTTGCAAAGAATGAGGAAGCTGTTAAAGTGGATCGGTTATAAAACTAAGTTTACCATTGTCTCCTTAATTGCTAATAAAAGTTTTACTAACATACTCCTCTCCCTTAAACCCTGCTCTAAAGTAACAATAATCTTCCCAATTAGGGGTCACCTTGAGATCATCACACTTTAACTCTCTGGAGCGCTTTTTTTCTCCCTTTGCATTTTCTTGTAGAGAACTAAGCGATGCCCAGTTCTCTGGTTAATAAATTGCCAGAGGGCAGTCTGTGCCAGAGGAAAAGGTTAGGAGACATTATCTCACGTAGCCAAAAGTTCAGCATTTCCTGTGTAGGAACTGAGGGCCTGATTCTCCTTTTGTTTATTCCAGTGTAAATCAGGAGTCACTCCACTGTAAGCAAAAGTAGTACATAGGAGAATCAGGCCCTGAATCCCTGAAGGGGAGATCAAACTAGTACAATTCACAAATGTGCGCACAATGGGTCTGATACAGTGGAAGTCAATTGAACTTCCCTGGGCTGTGGATCAGGTCCCCTGCCATTGCTCTAGATACAAATTAAACATCATTTGTATGTAAGTATTTTGTACCTCGTTGCATTATGTTCTAATGTCAACGGGAACTGCACATAGTTCACACAGTTCAGAAATGTATCCCCCGTCCAGAAGACCGGCTTGTTTGTGAGCAGCTTTATACCAGCACTTTAATTGTTTGTAGCTAAAATATACTTCCAGAAGGTGAACAAAATTGTAATTGTTTACTGAGACGGCTTAGCAATAGTTATAAACAAGGGCTGATGAGTTCTCCTAGGGGAAAATTATTAAATAAACTCAGGTTTCAGAGTAGCAGCCGTGTTAGTCTGTATTCGCAAAAAGAAAAAGAGTACTTGTGGAACCTTAGAGACTAACCAATTTGTTAGTCTCTAAGGTGCCACAAGTACTCCTTTTCTTTTTAAATAAACTCAGAAATTTGAATTTTCTAATCATGTAATTCTAACTGATGAATACAAATTTCATATCAGGCTCAGCAAATTATCTGTAAAGCATTAATTCTTGTGACAGAATAGATGATATTTCAATTCACATCACCATCATTGCTTATCTGTCTTTGACTGTTACACTCCATGATGGGGTAAACAGATTTTTAAATTACGGTATTTAAACACACTCTATTCTAATGCTTTCATCTTACACACACACACACACACACGTTATTTAGCACTCATACCAGGCTTTCAATTTTCATCAGGACTAGCATAATCTAAAGTATGCACCAGATGACATGCTTTCTCTGAGACATTCAGAAATCTTCAGCTAACTTCCTTGTAGATGTTTATGACCTCTTGAATGCCAGGTGTTAGCTCACCTCACCTTGTATGAATCATTAGCCCTGCTCCTGTTTGCTTCTTAAATTGCATATTTATTCACAAATAGCATCTTTCCAAGGCAAACAGTATCAAAATAACCTAGTGACATATTGAACCCTATGTCCACAGCAGAACAGCATTTCCCTTTCCTATTGTTTGTTTTGCAACACTCCTTTGCTCCTACATCTCAGCCTTGCTCTTTCTCCCAGGCGTCCACTTCAGTACAGCTTACAAAAAACCCCAACACACACTGAAGCTGCTCCTGATAGCAGCGAAATGCACCATGGAGATTTCTCTTCAGCAGGAGACCAGACCAATATCCAGAGTGCTACACAAGAGCAAAGTCCCAGCGGCTGCTAAAGGCAATGGGCAACTTGCTCAGCTTCCCAAACAACCTCCATTTTCTTCCCCTCCTTTAGGATGCCCTCCTCCCCACCCCCCAGACATCAGAAGGGATGAGTAGGCATTGAACTAGGACTCTCCTCAGCCTGCAGATTCACAGCTGTTAAATGCAGCGAGGAGAGGGGTCAAGGCACCAAAGGGCAGCCCAAAACTGAAGGTCTCAGGATGAGAGAGCTGTGTTCAAGAATGGACTCTCTATTCCGCAGCTGGACAAAGACCGCACATTGGAATTCATTCATTCATCTCCTCCTGCCTCAATAGTCACGTCTTTAGGATCTCCAACAACTCCTCCTCTCACCGGTTTCTCTCCTAGGCTCCCTCCTTCTATCCCCCTGCTCTTGCCCCTTAGGTACCCTCATCCACTTATCATGATGTCAGCTACCACTTTCATGTGATGACAGACAGATCTGCCCCCAGCTTCCCCCCTTCCAGCCAATCCAGGCTCTCCTGGCTCTCTGCTGGTGTGGATCCCACTCCTGGTACAGGAGAGAGAACAGGATAAGGTGGCCCCTGCACCCACCCACAATTCTCTTGAGGTCACTGGAACTGTATGGCCCTACCCATAACAGAGGAAGTTAACCCTGAGGGTAAATCTCTTGCAGCCAGTGGAGTTACCCCTGGGATGGAGTCACGCCCTTATGTCATCGGAACTCCTTGCGGCAGATCCTCGGCTGGTATAAATTGTCAGAGCTCCACCGGTGTCACTGGGGTTACAACAATTTACTCTAGGTGAGGATCTGCTCCATCTTTCCTCTAAAACGCACTCCTCTTTTCCTGCCTTTATCACCGCTGACAGCTCCGCTCCACCACCCCCCAGGCCCACAACTTCAATGTTACCGTCAGTGACTTTCTAGCCTTCTTCCCCAAATCCGGATGCACATAAAAGTATGTAAACCATGGGATGGAGAATAGCCCTAGGCCAGATTTGTCCTTTTTTCCCTGCTTAAAGACCTGGGAAATTAAATGCAACATTAACTGAATCAATGAGACATTAATGCAACATGAAATTATGAAATCAAGCACTTAAAAGTCAGGTAATTCAGAAATGTAAGGTGTTTGCTATGATGTTAACTAGGTCACATGGCATCTACTTAGTATTTCCTACTGTGGTTTAATGTAGGTTATTCTAACAATGTAAGAGCTCACATATCATTTATAAGTACATACTGTAAAGTATGTAGAATGTGTAATATAGTTTATTTAATGCTTTGGGGAAAACGCAAATGCAAAATAATAATTTTTATGCAACTTTATGTTTGTGAAATCCAGCACTCTAATATAAGGAGGGTCCTAAAATTTAATTCATTAATTGTATAAAGCGCACACACATACTGACCTAGAATTCATAAATGCAACTTTGTAAACACCTGAACGCTGTAAACTAAGAGAAAATGTACCCCAAATCTGCTAGTGCATGAAATGTTTGTGTTTATCTCTATGCATTGCATTATGTTTGCCTTACTGGTTCATTTTTTAATTTAAAAAAAAAATCAAGACATTAATTGATTGATTATTCAAACAGCCTGGGAAGTAACGTCTATGCC